GATTGGCGACACTCGAAGTTCGACAACTCGACGGAGACAACGACCTGCAGAACCGCAAGAGTAGACTCGCCGAGCATGTACCACTTGAGACGGCGATTCCGACGTCATACGACCCAACTGAAAGCAAGGACATATTCAGCACAATTAGTCAAACACCCATACACACACACATAGTAACATGCATATACATGAAGATGTAAAATAGTTTTTCATAAAGCGATACTTTTAAGCATCAATTTCCTTTCATCGAAGGTAAATAGAACAAGATGGTATTGCCTCTAGTCTGGTCGTGGTATCTCTTTGTTGTTGAGAAGTTGCTTGAACTTGTTTTTGCCAACTTAGTCGTATTGTTAGGGGGACCTAGAAAAACACATCTTATCCGGGATAATTTTCAATGTCGGACCGTTCACTTGATACATTTCCAGACGTTTTGCCGACACCGTAGTTAGCCTCGTCAGTCAAACTTGCCATTTTCAGAACCACAATTTTTCTTCTTTGTCCAAGCCTCACTGAAGATGCGGTCAGAGAATATACCAAGTCCATAGTCCGAGCCTGGAATGTTGCCGGACAAGGTGCGTCCCTTAAGGTCTCCTTGACGGTACGGCAAAAATGTCAAACAAAGCATAGTTTCCTTCATTTGAAACTGTCCTTCTAAAATATTTTCCAACACAATGAATATATTTCTTACAAGATGATGTATGTACAGAAAAGTTGCATTTGTATAGAAGTAATGAAACATTACATTATGATGCAAATTTCCTGACTCTCTCACTCTCTTGAAACAATTAAAATCATATAGATCATATCAACTTTTGTTTCTAAAGAAGGTGACAAGAGAAAATGATTGAGATACACTCCAAAAAAGTGCAAAGTAGAATCTTGATATAAACAAATAATATAAACAAAACATATGGCGTAACCTCAGTTTGGTTAGTGGCTTATTCATAAAGGTCACAATGACATTTAAGCATAATGGATGACGCTGAAACGGTCCACAATAAGGCACCTACTTTTGAAAGCCGGCAATTTTCAAAATTGTTTTAAGCACTTTGGCAATTAAGGTTACGAGAACCCTCTTCGTTGATGCCAGCCTTTATGTGAATTAAGAAATTTGTACGAATTAATTTTCGCTGCCCGACACTGACTACTGGTGCATTGAAAGTCTCATGGCGTTGAATTTCAAATAAAAAGTTGGCTGGAAGGGATTCGTGAATTTGAACTCCGAAAGCTGAGGAAGGATTTGCTCAAAGTGAGGCCAAATCGAATGTACCAAGAAGTCTTCATGTTAACATTCTGCAACACTAAATCCCATGCAGGCTATACATTCCTCCGAAATAAACAGACAAGTTGTATTAAAGTAGTAAGGAAATCCTTAGAATCACTCATAAATTATTAAGTTTTACAGACGACCCCTAACCAGGTTTATGCAATGATCTGATCAGCCGAGGTTTGCCATGTTCGAAAACTAATAGCAGATTTACCTCTCCATTAAACCTTTTCTATTTCGTCCTCATTAAATCCATTTTATCAGAAGATCCCGAAGCTAACGTCAAGATAAATTTCATTTTATTTGAAGGCCTGCAAAGAAGAGCACTTTAATAAGAAATATATTCCCCCTATTTTGTTTGAGGTAATAAAGTCTCGTTGGGGGTACTAATGAGGCTAGTTCAGGCGAGAGCAAAACTGAAATCCACTCCAGCCTGGATGAGGATAAATTTTGGTGAACAAGATTATGTGAATCGAAGGTATGAAGACCAAGATGGTGTGGCCTTTTGTGTGGTCGCAGTCCTCTTTCACTGTGTAGAGGTTGTTTGACCTTGTTCTTGCAACTTGGTCATGTTGGTAGGACGAATTAAAGGAACGCACCCAATCTGGAGTCCATTGTATGCATGATCATTTCTAAAGTTGAACCGTCGATGTGGTACATTCCAAACCGTTTCGCTGGCATCGTCAGTAAGTCTT